GAGAGAGAGAGAGAGAGAGAGAGAGAGAGAGAGATAGCCAGGGTCCAAGGTAGCTGTGAATTCTGCCTTGGAGGAGAGCCACACAGTGCTGGATCCTTTTAGGGGAAGGAACTACCCAGAAGGATTGATAACAATAGGCAGCGATGGTTCCCTCCTGCCCTCTGTTCCTTCCATCTTGCAAACCTTGGTTTTTTTCCAAGCTTGCTGGTCGTGGCTGGTTTTGTTTTGCTTAGAGAATGATTGGCATTCATAGAATGATGTGCTTAGGAGGAACAGGAGCTGCTGTTTTTGGAAGGCATGTAGTTTTATGCAAATAATAGGCCTCCCAACCGAGGGGAGGCCTCTCCATGGGGCGTCTCTGGGCTTTCCTGGGCTTCCTTCCCTCCAAGCCCTTGAAATCTCGGGGCTACTTACCAACAGGAGACAAGGGGTGATGAAGAACCAGCAGGCCCTCCACCACAGCCAGAAGAGGAAACTTTTCTTTCCAATCATCATCTCGATGTCTTCGATGAATCGGTTTCCCCCTGGACAAAACAGCCACATGGGGGGAGGGGGGGAGTTAGTCCTGAGTCTTTGCAACTTCCTGGAGTTTTATCCTGTTGCCCCAAAAGAGTCGTGTCTCTTTAACAGTGGGGTCTGGGCTCAAAAATGCCCTACTTGGGACTGGCAACACTCATTGGTTTCAGATCATCTTTCCCACATTGGACGACTCCAACTGTACTGAGGGTCAACTACCAAATCTGCAGGACACCCCCCCCCCCAATGGAAAAGCTTGGAACTGAGTTTCGGGAAGGAAAGGGACCTTCCTTTTCACTTGCTGCCTGGTGTAAACATTGGATGTTCCCCCCTTAATGTTCTTTTTCAATATAGCAAAGTACCAAAGCTCTACCAAATCTCTCCTCCTGCAAGGATGGCTGAGCCCGGATTGAAGCGTCTCGAAAGCTTTGCATTTGCGGTCAACCCGCAACTTAGTCCTGCTCATCAAGGAGAGTTTGGATGGGGTTGAAAGGCTGCTAAGAAGAGTCCAATTGGCTCTTGTGTTTGGGAGTCTTGGGAGAACTGGGGCGGTGAGAGGAGATCCCAGCAAATATTTACCATAAATCCAGCAAATTCCCAGCAGTTCCAGGATAGCTGCAAAGAGGATCCCCCAGCCTGCACAGAAATGGTCCACCAGGTTGACCCAGTAGATTCCTGCCTGTGGGAGAGAGGAGAAAGAAGTGATACCATGTCCTTGTCCCCAGTAAGAGACTCTCCCATTTTTCCCCATGGGGACTTCCGGCAGCCCAGCATAGGAAAGTGTGGGGAACGGCCCTTGTGCTGTCCAGACAGTATATAGTTAATTGGGAATTGGGAGCTGTCCCCTTAAGGGAATGCCTCATGAGAAAGGTAGCTAATGCATCATGGGAAATGTAGTTCATGTCATGTGGTCACATCTGTAATCCTGATTGGTCACTGAATTGACTGGTTGGGTTGGGGGAGTTTCCTTTACTCTTGCTTGGACCCCAGCATCGTGCTGGTGTCCTTCCCTTTGCTCCATCATTATGGGATGAAGATATCTTTTCACACTATGAAGACAACTATGCAAAGTTTGGACATTAGATGAATGTCAATGTAACTATGAGTTATAACTTTGAGGATGCCTGGTGTGATCCAATAAAGAGACTTTGTATGGAAGCCTTTGTAGCGTTTTAACGGCTTATTTTGCCTAAGACAAGACAGCCGTCCTTAAAGTCTTACCTGGGTCACACAGACGAGCCCGAGCAGAAACAGCAGCAGGCACAACCCCATCGTCACCACGATTCTCATTTTCTTCATCACTGCAGGGTAGATATCTTGGATGGTGGTAGTGATGGTTTCTGCAGAAGGAAGCGGGAGAGGAGAAAGGAGAGTCATCCTCGCGTTGCTATTCTGAGGCCAGCTCCATCCAGCTTTCCCTCCCTGAACCGTGTCTGGAGGATTGTTACTTGAGAATGCCTTTTAGTTGTTGTTTTTCAGCTTGCTTTTTCATTTCTCCCCTTCCCTAATGTATCATTCCGACTGAATTCAATCAATTCCATCAGAATAGGGCTGAAAGGAGCCTTGGAGGTCTTCTAGCCGAACCCCTGCTGAAGCAGGAAACTACAAAATTTGAGACAAGTGGCTGCCCAGTCTCTTCCAAAGACGAAGTACGCATAACTTTTGTTCCACTGGTTCTCACTGTTAGGAAGTTTCTCCTTAATTCTAGGTTGCTTCTCTCCTTCATTATTTTCCACCCCTTGTTTCTTGCTTTTCTGGTGCTTTGGAAAATACGTTGACTCTCCCTCCCTTCTTTGTGGCAGCCCCTCAAATAGTGGAAGACTGCTATCGCGTCTCCCCTGGCTCTTCTTTTCTCTGGACTAGCCAAATCCTGCAACGGTTCTTCATATGTTTTAGTCTCCAGGCCTTTAATCATCCTAGTTGCTCTTCTTTGCACTTTTTCCAAAGTCTCAACATCTTTTTTCTAATGTGGTGACCAAATCTGGATGCAGGATTCCAGGTGCGGCCTTACTAAGGTTTTATAAAGTGGTACTAATACTTCACGAATATATAATGCAATATATAATGATACATATAATAACAGCAGCCAGAATTGCCTTTGCGCAGAACTGGGAGCAAGGTGACACTCCCTTGGACGTAAGGGTAACAAGAAAGACCTTGGAGTGTGCAGAGGTGGATAGGGGAACTATGGAGTTAAAAGACAGAAAAGAAACGGAATACTATAAGATCTGGAATGTACGGTACCAGTGGTTAGAGAACAGGCATAAAGTTGTTCCGTGAAGAATATGTAGGAGATATAGTACCGTGAGGAAGTGTTGCATATATATTTGTAAATATTGTTATGTTAAAAGTAGGAAAAAACTATATAATAGAACAGAACAGAATAGTAACAATTATGTCAATATGAACGAATACCAGAACCTGAAGGCTGTAATGAATGTAAATGTGGTGTTTTAATTTGAAATATGACTAATAAAAAATTACTTTTGGGGAAAAAAATACTTCACGAATTTTGCAGAAGGAGATGGCCTTTTTTGTACCGGTGGTACTGGCTCCAAACAGCTTCTTTCTTTTCGCATAAATGTTATGAAATGCGTAAATGCGACAGCTCAACCTATTAAGTGTTGCAAGACCCACTGAAGCAGGCTGGCAGGATATGTGATGCTCCGTCAGCAGGGCAAACAATACTTTTGACCAAGGCGAAGCAGGACCACGTGGCTGGTCTTAACTCAGGGGTCAGCCATCTTAAACACTCAAGGAGCCACAAAGGTCCTAACTGGAAGCCCCGTGTTCAATTCTGGAGCTGGCCAGACTCTATGGTGGTTCCCCCATCATAGAGTCTCCTCCTAGCACGGCTTCCTTTTTCCTCTACCTGTCCTAACCAAAAGCCCTATCAATTGTGGAGCCAACCGGCAACAGGGAGCCACAACAGAGGGAGGAAAGAGCCACCTGTGGCTCCAGAGCTGCGGGTTGCCGACTCCTGTCTTAAACTGATACTCACCTATGGTGGCAAACTGGGAATCGAGGCCCAGAAGGAGAAGCATGAAGAAGAACAAGAAGGACCAGAGAGGAGCCACCGGGAGCTGGGACAGGGCTTCAGGGTAAGCCACGAAGGCCAAGTCAAATCCTGCCAGGAAGCAAAATCAAGGACACCATCAGGAAACGGTCCCTCTCGGCGAAGAAGAGGTCTGTGTGAACAGCCAGCAGCCAACCGGGGCCAATTACGGCAGCTTTCCTGCCAGGGTGGAGGTGTCCATCAGGGATGTTTGGGTTTAGTTCTCACCCTCCAGCCAGTTTGGTGAGCTTAGGAGAGCCCAACCCAGGCAAGAGACAGATGGGTGGAGGTCACATTTAGTGAAATGATCTAAAAGTTACATCAAACTTGAAGGGTAAAAAGAGTCATCTTGGATCACATCTGCCTGAATCCAGTTCTGGTTTCACCACCAGGACCAGAAACACAGAGTCTGAGGGCAAACCCAAATACAGAGAAATACAGAACCAAATACAGAATAACAGAGTTGGAAGGGACCTTGGAGGTCTTCTAGTCCAACCCCCTGCTTAGGCAGGAAGCCCTACAAACGTCTTCTTAAAAACTTCCAGTGTTGGAGCATCCACAACTTCTGGAAGCAACTTGTTCCACTGATTAATTGTTCTAACTGTCAGGAAATTCCTTCTTAGTTCTATGCTGCTTCTCTCCTTGGTTAGTTTCCATCCATCTGAGCACACAATAGTTTGTAGTCAGTTCTGACGTCAGGTGTTAAGAAAATATTTCAAAGGCAACCCCACGATGGCTATGGAGCCCAGTGCAAATATTCCATCTGACTGACTAGACAAGTGGATTCAGATTTCTGAATACAATTTCAGCTGCAGCCGGAAGGGTCAACACTAACCAGAAGCTTCCAGATTTTCAATGTCAAAGGGAGTCCAGACGTTCGTTGGAAAAGTTTGGACTCCAGTTGGAGATTTTGAAAATGTCTTTCTATCGTCTGCGCACAGAATCCAAAACAAATCACCTTTTTTAAAAATGCACCTGAAAATGTGAGTGAGGCCAGAAGCTCACCACAGATCCAGTGGCCTAAGGGGCCGAGCTCACCTGAGTCCACGACCTCGGAGACCTTCTTATTGGCCTTGAAAGCCATGTGGCCCAAGATGGAGAAGATGGCAAACCCGGCAAAGACGCTGGTGAGGCAGTTGGTCACGCAGACGAAAATGGCGTCTGCGTAGCAATTGTTATGGAATTTGTTGTAGGAGGAGAGGGCGACCAGGCCCCCCCAGGCGACTGAGAGGGAGAAGAAAATCTGCGTGGCTGCGTCTTTCCACACCTTGAAGAAAGAAAGAGGAAGACATGTGGGAAGTCGCTCTTGCAATCCCACCGACTTCACCATGGATGCGTGTGCTGCATAAGCCGTTATAAATATTGCAATTCTTATTAGCCTGTGGTGGCACAGTGGTTAGATTGCAGTATTGCAGGCTAATTCTGCCCACTGCCAGCAGTTCAATCCTGACTGGCTCAAGGTTAACTCAACCTTCCATCCTTCCAAGGTCGGTAAAACGAGGACCCAGATTGTTGGGGGGGCAAGAGGCTGACTCTTAAACCGCTTAGAGAGGGCTGGAAAGCACTGTGAAGTGGTATATAAGTCTAAGTACTAAGTGCTATTAAGAATATGGATATTAGTTTATTCTGACGGAGCTCTTTTCCTATTTGGTCATAAAACACTTAACCTACACCATAAAGGTGTTAATTCTTACAATAAGGTACTCAACTGGTACCTCTGTGATGGCAGGCAGATATCTATGGGGGTTTCTCGGCCAAAGCATGAAAGTTGTCTTCCATTATTTTCGTATTTGTTTTGTTTTTCAATTTCCCAACCCAGCTTTCCTTTTGTCTCCCATCCAAGTATTACTCCAGCCCAAACCCGCTTAGCTTGTCTGAGATTAAGTAAGTTCTGCCTCCTGGCAAGCCAACCAGCCAGCTCTGTTTTTGTGCAATTAGAACCTAGGATGAAGGTTGAAGAATTTTGTTTGTCTGTCTTTGGTGGGACTATACACACACACACACAAGTTCCAGTCCAGCTGCCCCCCATGGGCTGGGTGGTACCAACCTCTGCCTCGCTAAGTTTCGTGAAATTGGACTGGGTCCCGATGTAGTACTCAATGCCCTCGCGGGAACCTTCCAAGGTGGCACCTCGCACCAGCAGTATAACCAGGACAACATAAGGGAAGATAGCTGTGAAGTAGACAACCTGCGAGGAGAAACAACAGAGACTCAGAAAGAGGCCAGACCGAAGCTTTGGGAAGACCAATGGAATAGGGAATACTTTTTTAATTTTGTTTTTTTGTTTTTAAGCAGCAACAAAGGAGTTCCCAAATTCAGATACAGGTCATAGTGGGGGATCTGATCTTCACTGGATACTGAGGTGGCTCTGTCCTTCCCAATCGTGCCCTCCTGGGGGGCTGTTTACAGAGCTGAAGGTCTTGCAAATTGAAGCTTCCTCTCAGGAGTCACCCTGCCAGCTGTTTGTTCTCAGGTGCCCACAGAATTACCTCCCAAATTCTTGGCAGGGAGGACCCGAAAGTCACATCAAATTGCCCTGAACTTAACAACTTGCAGGCTCTTTCCTTAGTGGGCCTGCCCAACTGTGCCTCCAAGGTGACCAGAATGGGTAGGAAGTTGGCATCTCTCCTGGCACTTTGGCAAATCCTTCATGCCCTTGGAATGCCATGGAACTGGTTCTTTGCTCTGAAACCAAACCCTCAGTTGCCCTACCGTAGCCATTAGCTCTCGTGGGTGCTCTCAGCTACCTTGGCACATGCTCTCTAAGGATCCCCTTCACCCCAACGTCGAGATTGAGGAAAGGAACCTGAAATACCCCCATATTCCAATGATGTTGCTGGCGAAATGAGAGTCCTACAGCACCACCAGTAGTTGGCCTTCCGAGGGCCATGAGACTCGCCCGCAGTTACCTTCCCGGAAGACTTGATCCCTTTGAACAAGCTAACTGCCACGATCAGCCAGGAAAGGAGAAGGCAAAGCGCCAGATACCACACGATCTCCCCGGTCTCGCTTAAGTTCTCCGACCGCTGGAGGACTTTGTTGCTGTCGGAGGAAAAAGAGAGAAGGATGAGCAAGGGGAAGCAGCCTCAACCAGGATGGGTGAAACTTGGCTTGCTCTGTGGTTGGGGTGTGGTTGAGTCGGGGAGAAATGCTGGAGGAGGGATGGCATTCCAGATACTGCCCAACCACAATCGCCAGCATTCCTCAGCTCTGGCCACGTTGACTGGCATTCCTGGGAGCTGTGGTTTCCCATGCTGGCCTGAGACGCTTGCTCTTCAACCCAAGTCCTAGTTTCAGTCCAGGTTGCAATCCTGCTCAGCTTGTCTCAGTCTTCCCCACGTAGCCCGCTGGGCTTTGTAGAATTAATTGCAGGCTCCCTTCTCCTGCCTTTAAGTGGCTGTGGGGCAGAGTGTGTTTCTGGAGGCCGAGAAACCTCTTTCCAAGTTGCACATCTACCCATGCAGTTTTCCAAGGTCTCATGCTGTCTCTCTGCTTTTATGGCTCTGTATCATTCAGTTGTCATCAGAAAAAATAATAATTATATGACGGCCCACAGCAATCATGATGCAACTAACACCTCTGTGGATAGCACTGTGTTTCGTTTGCTCGTGTGTGCAAGGCTCACTTTGGGGGAGGTGAAGTTGATGCAGAGCCCTTGACTAGAATGGCCCCGGAGAAGGCAAAATGCCCCCTGAGCTGAATGCAATGGTACTCACTCACTCAGAAAAACCCCCCTCTCCACCATCCCCACTATTTGGGGGCAGGCAATTTGGCGACAGGCCTCTTCCCCTCCAGCTCCTACATGAATCTTACTACAACTACCGTGTTCTCACGAAGGACCAAGCCTGCCTGATGATTCAGTTCCATCTACTGTTGAAGGTCCAGGCTGGACAACTTCCAGGCAGGCGGATTAGATTCCCACCGTTCTCCCATGACGCTGCCAATGGCTGGAAAAGATCTCCAAACTTGACAGCTTGGACCATGGCTGGCATGGAAACTCTGGGCGCTGAAGTCCACAAGCCTTACAGTCGCCACTTAGCCTTGCTCTGTCTAGACCAAAAGGCAGAGGGGCTCCCAAGGTTTCCTTGCGGAAATATCACATTGAAACGGCCACCCAGCTAACCCAAGGCGAAGGCGACTCTGTGGGCCGCCCACAGCAACCTGAAACAAGGTTTAAGGGTGCGTGTTTCACAGCCTCCCCTGGAGATGTGGGGGTGTCCAGCCAGCAAAGCTGGGCACGCAAAGTCGATGTGACTTGTGTGGCAGGTTGTTGGCGGAAGGCGCCCAGCTCAGCCGATCCACACTTACTTCCAATACTGCTCGCTGGGAACCTGCGTCTCTGCAAACACCTGGGTGTTGTTGATGCAGGTGAGGTTCATGCTCTCCACTTCGGTGTAATTCATCTGGACTGTTGTGCCGCCCATCGTGACATTGCACAGCAACACTGAAAGGGGAGGAAGAAGAGAGTCACAAGGTGCAGGGAAAGGGCTTCGCAACGGGGGAAACAGTTGTGCCATAATGTAATTTATTTGCTAGCAAAGTTCCAGGTTTATAAGTTCATAGCGCGAGCCTTTTGCTTCAGGGTTTATTTTTTCTCCTTTTTGCTCTCCATTTTTACTGTTGTGAACTGTTGAAAGATGTGATAACACACACACCGCAATTTCAGCAAAGCAAAGAACTCTGAAGACCCCCTTTGGCCTGACTGACTGGACCAATTGTTCCCGTGTCTGTTTTTTCTGCAACGCAGCTGGGCCTGGATCCTTGGGCGATAAAGCAGGCTTTGCGGGATGATACACCCCAGTACATTACGGTTCCCTTTGGACGGCATTTTACCGCTTGACACAGGCTTGTGACTCAAACTCCAAATGAAAAGCGTGGTGAAGACGGCTTTCGTACAAAGATGGGAAACAACGCAAGACAACAAGAAAAGATGGGGAAAAATACAAGGGACTAAGACGGGTGCAAAATATGCATTTCTCGCTCTTGGAGAAACCCTAGTTGGCGATGATCAAGACTGTGCTCATCTGCATAACCCCTCCTCCTCGTTTGCATGTCCCCACCCCAGATGCTGCCTCAAGCTCAGCTTGGAAATCCGGCCCTGTGTTTTTATTACAAAAGGAAATGAAAGCTTTTCGGATCCAACCTCCGCACTGCACTGGACACACCTGCAGCTAAGGAGGCCATTTTGCACCAGAGGTGGGTATTCTGGAGAACTGGTCGTGGAAATTTTGAGTAGTTTGGAGAACTGGGAAACCCCACCTCTGACTGGAGATTTTGCAGTCTCCTTCCCCTGCCATGCCCACCAAGCCACGCCCACAGAAGTGGTAGTAAAAAAAAATTGAATCCCACCACTGCTTTGCACATAGGAGAATGGCAATGACTGTGTTTGGCGAGGAATTCTTCCCTTTCCCACCGACTTACTGATTGGCGTCTTGCTGCATTTCTGGTCTGCCCACTCTGGGTCGCATGTCGCCCAGGGCAGGACCCGTTGGAAGGAGGCGAACAAGTAATAGAGGCTGTAGCCAATGATGACGTTGTAGTAGATGGTCACAAAGGTGGAGATGATGACCATGGTGATTCCCACGCCTGGTCAGGAAGAGAAAAGAGGCCATCAGGAGACGGGTCTCTGAGCTCCTAGGAGCCAACCTGCTGGAAATGCCAACCTAACTGCCCTTGTGGGAAAGCACTGCAAAAAGGGAGGCTGTTGTGGCCTGCTGGGTGGCTAGCGGAGCTGGCAGCAGAGTCGGACAGTGAGGAGGTTGGGGAGGAGCATGGGTCAGTTCTGGAGGCTGAGAAAGGCTCGGACGAGGGCTCTGCGTCGGAGGCAGAGATGGGGCCGGGGCAGGCTGGCAGTTATCAGCTGCCTTTGGAGTCGGACAGCAGTGAGGCAGAGGAGCAGCTGGAGCCGGTTCCCAGCCTGCGCATGCGCAGAGCTGCCAAAAGAAAAGAACCATTAGGAACTAAGAATCAACGTGGGAGTAAATCCACAGGTGTACGGTGAATGGCCCCTCCTATAGGGATTAAAAGAGGAGGAGCAAAAGGGGAGGGGGCTTTTGCAGGAAACAATTCGTTCGTTGCAGCAGTGTGAAGATCTGCCTGTGCATCTCAGAGACTCTGTGCCGAGTCCTTCCTTGTCAGCACTGCATTTGGAAATAGTTACTTGGCAGCTCTCCAGGCTAGATGAGGTCTGTGCTCCTAATCGCACCCTTGAAAGCCTGTTTGCCAGGCCTTTGGCAGAAGGTGAATGCCAGAAATTCACCTTCGCTTAATAAAAGGGGTTTTGCCGGGACAAAGAGTCGGCTTAGTGCTTTTTGGGGAAGCCGAGGTCAGAACAGTTAGCTCGAAGACCTGCAGACTTTGATAGATCCACAAGGGTGGGGGACCCTTTGTTTGCTTTTCTGTCAGGATAACAGATCACCAGCCAGCCTGTGTTATAGCCAAAGCAAATATTTTGTCCTGAATGTCAATATGAGATGCTTTCAGCATGACTTTTTCACACCGGCTATCAAGCTGATAGTTATCATCAAGGGGGAAAACACAACAGGGTTAAGACTGCAGGTACGTTCAGGAAATGTGAAAAAGCTGCTTCCTTGTTCTGCCTGAGATTTTATTTATTTTTTATATTGGGAAATCTATATTGCTGCCTCCTCGCCCAGGGTGACCCAAGGTGGCTTACATGAATATGAAAACATTGTATGGAAAATTAAAACCCACAGCAAAACCCAGAAAGCAGTGTGGGAGACACTGTGCAATTCTTCAAAGTAAAAACAGGCAAAATAAGGGAACAAGATAAACATCAGTTCACCGGGAACCTGCAGAAAAATCCCTGGTTATAGCAGAACCACCCAGCCCAGGTCCCACGCCTCGGAAAACGTCTGCCTTGGCCACCCCATGCCAAGCTGGCCTGGCTTTGGGGAAGCAAGCTTTGTCTTCAGCTGGACCCAAACCATTCTTCTCTTGGCCTGTCTGAGACATCTTCCAACTTTGGTGAAGGACCCCAATCAGGGAACTGCCAAACAAGCCAAGAGTAAACAGCCCAACCAAAGAACCACTGCAGGACAAGTCACTAGAATAAAAATTGAGAGCAAACTCCACTCCTTACTAGCACTGATGAGGTTCCCTAGTTGGGTCACGAAACATCTGCAGGAAAACCACCGAGCTCAGAGAGCACCCAGGAACCCACCGTCTTCCTCCTCCTTCTCCCCCCCGCCCCGAACTCCTTCCCTTCTAGCACTGATGATGTTCCCTAGTTGGGTCATGAAACCCAACTAGGGAAACCACCAAGGTCAGAAAGCACCCAGGATCCCACAGGGTTGTGAGAGTCCAACTCAAGCATTGCAAAAACGAAACAAAAAAGGATTTTCCCAGGACTCCATCCAGGAATCTCCCGGGATGAAGGACAAAACTGACCTTGGAAAAGAGGCAGAATTCTCCAAACAGACACGGGTCCCAAGCTGGCAAACTGTCCCAGGGAGCACTCCATGAAGAAGAGAGGGAGGCCGGCTAGGGCCAGCATGATGGCGTAGGGGATCAGGAAGGCTCCTGAAAGAGAAGAGCCAGGTGAGCATGGGCAGGTGCCACGACCCAAACCAACACCGCTGCCCAGGGTACCAGCCTGTGGAAGGAAAATACAGCTCCTAATTGTGATGGGCAGAGATCCCCAAACAGCCAAACATTTGGGGAGACCAACATTTGGGGTTTGGCCAATGGCTTGCAGCTGCCTACAGCGAAGAAGGGCGGCTGGATCCCAGGCAGGATCAGCTGAAGCTTGATTGGGTGCCAATGCCAGGAAGGGTGGTGAGTTTGCTTCCCCTCACAGGGACTGTCCCCAGCTTCCTTCACACACTTGGCACATTGCATAATGCTGCTCTTGAGAGAAAAGGGTTGAGTGTGCCCCGTGAGTCACACTAGCCGTGCCTTGTTCCCAAGCCATTATAGTCCTCTGGGTGTGTACAATTTGGCTTTACAGTTGCTCCTTTTGTTTTCTTCCACCTTTCGAATCAAGGAGGGCGCAGGGAAGCCAACGAACGGTGGGAGAAAAGGGGGGGCAGCCCTAAAACCTCCCGGCCGAACCCAGGGTCCCTCACCCCAAAGTCTTTGGCTGATGGCTCAGCCTCAGTGGGAGAGGAGGACAACTCGGCTCTTGGTGGGAAGGGTCACTTCTGGTGGGTTGAGGTCCCTCTGGAAAAGGGAGTATGGAATCCAAACTCAAGCCCTCTATCGGCACCAAGCCTTCTTCGCTGCACTGAAACTGTCTGGGCACATCTGGACATCCAGAAGTTGCCAATGCAAAGTTTCCAAACAGCTGAGGATGCCAGAATATCTCCTCCATGTTCTGCCTCTTGGTGTACACCCAACATGTACGTTCTCTCCTGACCCAACACTCAGAAAAGGGGGAAGAGGGTGAGGAGGGGTGGAAGAATGACCTCAAGGGCACAGCGTGGAGCCTGGCAAAGCCTCAGCCCTGGAAGCACAAACCAAGGAGCCCCCCCCCCACCCTTCCACTCCCACTCCCACGCCTACTAAGACTCCCGTGGACTGGCTGGGGTTTTCTAGAGCTTCTCCATTGCTACTAACAGGCGGAAGGACCTCTATAAAACAGGGGTGGGTGGGAGATGAGCCTTGCAAAGAAGCCCAAGATCTGAAGAGGCCACAAGAGTTACACAAGGGTTAGGGGCCGTCTCTCTGGTGCACTGGAGATGTAAGGCAGGGGCCTCCAACCCTGACAACTCGAAGACTTGTGCTGGCTGGGGAATTCTGGGAGTTGAAGTCCCCCAGTCTTAAAGTTGCCAAGGTTGGAGGTCCCTGATGGAAGGGACAGGTGGGAGTTAGGTGGGCTGTGTCTGCTCACCTGGGGAAAGAAGAAGTCATGCCAGCCAGGTGAGCAACTCCTGAAAGACATCCTTGGATCAGGGTATCTGATCGGGAGGCTGTGAGTTCGATCCTAGTTAGAGGCTAATCTTTGGAATAGACTCTCCTGCTCAAGCAGGGGGGTTGGACTAGATGACCTCCAAGGACCCTTCCAACTCTGTTATTATTACATGCCTCTGTGTGTTGAGGGTCGGGGTTAGAGCAGCCCCTTACCTCCTCCATTCTGATAGGTCAGGTACGGGAACCGCCACACGTTGCCCAGGCCCACCGCGTAGCCCACCATGGACAGCAGGTAGTCCGTCTTGCTGGACCAGTTGCCCCGCTCTGTGTTCTCATCCTGCGAGTCAGCGATCTTCTCCGTGGACAAAGTGAATTCCTTCCGAAGGAGGAGAAGAGAAAAGTCAGCCAAGAGTTTCCTTCCTGCCCTTCGGCCCCCTCCGGAGCGTCCCGGGGAGTCTTCGCACCCTCACTCTGCGCACGGATCCTGCTGCCAGGGGAGGAGAGCTGGCAGGTGCCCGCGGGGTTGGCGGGGCCCTGGAGGTTTTGATGGCTTTCGGGACCTGAGCTGCTGCCCCCCCCCCAAGCTGGGCCCCTCTTTCGCCCCTGCCTGGACGCGCCCACCGGAGCTGCACCCAACAAGGGACCCCAGATCGATGGCCTCCCGGGCAGGGGTCGCGCGAAGGGGCTTCCCTGCGGGAGGAACCTGTGCGCCCCAACCCGGGGGGGAGGGCGGTGGGGACGCAGCGCTTGGCTCCTCCTGAGCTCCGGCTGCTTCCCTCGGATGCTCAGGATCGCCAAGCGCCGCGCCGAGGTCCCGCCTGCAGAGCGCCCGCCTGGCTGCTCTTGCGCCCCGGGGCTCTTCCCTTCGCCGAGGATGCCGCGCGCTCGGCTTGCGCCCGGTCCCCGAGGGACCCCGGCAGGTCTCCTCCTGCTTTGGGCCCCTCTCTGCCGCGAGGGACCCCCGGGCGGGGTGGACAGCTGGGAGCAGACAATCCCCGCGCCTCCTTCCTCTCTCCCCCCTCCTCCTCCTCTTCCTCCTCGCCCGCTCACCTTCTGGCCGCAGCGCAGACAACTGGGCAACCGGAGCCAACCCATCGCGTTCCTTTCTGGGCTGGAGTCGCCCGGTGGGAGCCTTTATAGCGCCCGGCGAGCTCGTCCCGTCCAGCCCCTTGCCCCTCCTCCCCGCCTTCCCCGGGACCGGCCAGGTGGAGCCGAGAGGGCGGGGAGAGGGGAGGGGCGGCAGGTGCGGAGCAGAGCGAGCGCGGCGGAGGTTTCTGCTCGGGGGGGGGGGGGGGCGGGCTCCGAGTCCCTCCCCCCACACCACCTCCCGAGCTTGTCCGGGCTCTCGTGGGATCCGTCCCGCTTGCCCGCCTGTCCTCCCACGACGCCCGGATCCCGCCCGCCAGGCAGGTGAGACGGGCGCCAGCATCTTCCCCTGGCAAAGCGCGCCCTCCCTCTTCGGGCCTTGGACTCTCTCTGGGGAGGGGGCTCCTAGCCCCTCCCCCCAGCTGCGGGGGGGGAGGAGGAGGGGGCGTTATGGCCGGGTGCCAGTTCCCCAAATAAAAATGCCAATCACCCCGCCGCCCCTCCCCCGCCCCTCACACTCAGCTGACCTGCTTCCTCCCTTCCAAGCCTGACACAAGAGCGCCCACTCATGCCGCCGCCGCCTCGTTGCTTCATCGCCCTCCGGACCTCCTGCCGCCTCCTTCCCTTTGCCAGGGGTCCGGCCGGGGAAGGCCCCGCCTGCCTGGGGCAAGAGGTTGCAGCACCGGCGGCGGCTCCCTCGTGACGGCTGCTCAGAGGAAACGTGGCGGGCAGAGGCAGCGGAAGCACCCACAACTGTGGTGTAGCTAGGTGCCAACGGCCCTTCTGCCTCCAGGAGAAGGCAGGAGAATCGGCTTCCGTGCCGGGCACCAAAGATCCCTCTGCAGCCTGGGCAGAAAAGAGACACTCGGGTTTTTTTTCCCCCTTTGCCACCCACTTCTGGGTTGCCCGGTCTCCTTGCCAGGCTGGCAATCCAGGGCAGAGACAAGGGGGCACCATTGTGCAAGGGACAACAAGGTGGTGCTGGAACTCCTTGCCACAAGAGGCAGCTGGATGATCCCCCGAGTTGGCCTTGAAAGCGGTCTTGTTTAGTGGAGAGTTTGTAGTTACATTTCTGAATAGAATCCTTTCAAACAAGCTGTGGATTCCTAAAGTTCTTTTTTTTTTAATGTATAAGAACATTAAATGCACACGTTTACTAGGAAGACACCTGTATGCCCAGTTTTGGGAAGGATTCACGCTTTCCCACCTTGGAAAGAAAATAATGAGATGCATTTCAAATGGAGAAGTGTGAACAGTAGAAGAGAGCCGATCAGCTGATTAAAAATCCTTTCTGGATGTGTTTGTGCTCCAACAAACGCGCATATCTGAGTGGGGTGTGCAAAGGGGGAGGACTTGGGAGATCTTCCTCCACCTTCTGTCCCACTGTGGATATCTCAGGGCTTCAGGGAGGCCCCATCCTACAACTTTGCTCCCAAGTTTCAAGCAAGTGGAAATGGGAATGTATAGTCTGTAACCCCAGCCTCTAAGATTTAACGGCCCCTGAAAAATCCCCCCAAATCCAACTGCGTCCGTCCTTCGTTCTTCTCAGTTGGTTTCCACCAAAGAGAAACATGGAGGAAAGTCATAGAAGTCATAGAATTTCATGGAGGTGCCATAGAAGAGTTTGACTTAGTCTCCTAAGTGTCCAGCATGGTCACCACTGCAGTTTGGCCCAAAGAGTGCAGTTCAAGAACTGTTGCTCTCCCACCCAAGACACTAGATATGCAGGGTTGGTGGGAGACCCAGAGGTGTAGCTGCCTGGTGGGACAGATGAGTGAAGGGCAAAGGGCCGGTTCTTTAGCTGGGCTCTTAACTTGGCCGGGGGGCAGAAGGCAAATGTTCTTAAATTGGACCCAACCTCGGCCATCTTGGACCCCCAGATCAAAACCAGCTCCTGGGCTTTGAGTAGCAAAAGTCTATTTTGTATTTAAGCTTTTCATTTGGGTGGCACGGCTTAAAAGGCTCATCCTGGATCAGAGGTGGGTGTTTACCTGGCTGCCCAGGTGGTGCCAAACACTTTTTCCTGCAGAGTGAGGCACCTTCTCTACTTACTGGGATTAAAAGGTGTGCTGTCATGTTGTGCGGCTGCAGCTGTTTGTGACTATGGTGTTCTCCTGGGTTGTGTTTTTAGCACAAGAACCAAAAATGATGGGGGGGAAAGAAAGGAGAAAAACCACCAAGCAAAGGGCTGATTTTTAGGGAAGAACGGGGGGGGGGGGGGGGATTTCAATCCTGTAATTATTTACTTGTTCTGCTTGGTGGGCTGCTCAAGCTGAGGAGCAAACCTCCTTTAAAGCAACCACAGTCTGAAAATCATTTCCCACAGTTAATTTAATTAGTTCATCTAGCAAGCCAATATCCAAAATTTCAAAAGTCACCAAATAATCCCAGAACAGTTTCTTCTTACTTCTTTCTTTATTTCAAAGTTCAGTGCTCCACCTTCACTTTCCAGGGGCTCTATCTTATGGTAGCAAGATTTCACCTACTTTGTATCCTTCAAACGTTCACAATTAATTCCTTTTACTACCAGGTGGCCCTCTCTGCTATGTCCAAGTTCCACCCTTTTTCTTCCACTTTTTTTCCCCCTTGACGGCTTTTACGTTTCAAAGTTCTTCATTTTTTTTTGACACATTCAAGTTCAGCTTTAGGCTTGCCTATTTAGTGTCAAAATCATTTTAAGCAAATATCTTCTTCAGGCTTCTCTTTCAAAGTTCAAAGCCACTTTCAGCTGTCAAATTCCCCCCCCCCTTTTTTTTCCCCTTCTCTGCCGCCGCTTTAAAAATCTTTCTTAAAAGTTCTTAATTATTTTAATTCCAGGGTACCTTGTATTTAAATATTGTTACTGCTTAGCTCGGTCACTCAAGCTGTCCTCCTCTTCTACGTTCCTGCACATTCTTGTCTGATCAGTTCTTCCTCTTCAGGGTGGCCATCTTGACCACGGCTACAGCTGTCTTTGGAGAGGAGTAAATGCCAAGCCAAGGAGGGGAGATGCAGCTCCTCTCAACTCAGCTGGTGGTCTCCCCCTTCTTCACCACCTCACGGGGTGGCTTTGGCCTCAAATCAGGTAGATCGGGGCCCTCTGACGGAAAGCACGAACCGAAACCACGGACGATCGCAGATTTTGGTCCATCACCGAGGAAGTCTAACTGGAAGGGGTCGCTTCAGCTCACTTTCTGATGACTTCAGGGGCACAGCCAGGTTGTGGTCTTGGCAGCTGGAAAAACGTGGCCTGCAGTGGCCTTAATCCAGGTTATATTTTAGATTTCCTAGTCCAGGCCTGCAGTTTGGAGATTGTCACGAGCTTCCAGCTCAGTTCTGAACAGGTTCCGCAAACTTTGGTGTTCCTTGATGAGGCCTGGTTGGCCAAGAATGCCCACCTGATCTATTTGTCTGCAAGGCAGGAGTTAGGGGTGGAATGGAAGTTACTTTCTCTCACTTTCTTAAACTGTTTTCAATCCAACAGAGAGATTAGAGGTTTCATAAGATGCGCCTTTATTTAAACACAGTTGTATCAATGAACGGAATTCGTGATTAAAAATAGAAATCTTCCTGCTTTGAAGTAAGACCATGGAATCCGTGAGGTTTATTCCAGGTAAACTGCATGTTTTTTTTTTTATCAGTTAAACATTCTTCTCTTGACTTTATCAGTTTGCTAATGTCTTAGTGATGGGCTTGGCTACCAGGAACTTGCCTGAATTTAGCTTTTCCAGAAACCAACCTTTTATTGCATTTCATGAAGGAAGCAAGGTTTTAGGCTAGAGCACACAACCCTTACTATCTTTGTGTCAAATTAACTTGAAAAGTGAGTAGATGTTGTAGTAATATTTGGCTTAGATTAGCTTGGTGATGGTTGAATGGTTGGGACTTATTGCATAATGATATGTTTGATCTAGATTTTTTTTTTTTATCCTACTATTATTATATTTACAAATAACTCGAGGTGGCAAACGTACCCAATTTCCTCCTTCCTTTTTCTAGTTTTCCTACAGCCACCCAACTGATGTGTCATTCTAGTTTTTAATTCCATCTATACTATCTGTGAAAAGTTCTCAAGATTGGAAGAATTTGAAGCAGCGGAAGAGAAATCACAAATCTTCAATGCTGGGAATGTTTCCACATCTGCAGTCTGGAAGTACTGACTTCCCAGTTGGGGACCATTAAGCCAAACTCCAGAGGGGACTCCGTGAAGCCTCAGAAAAGGTTCTGACTATCCCCCAAACGTTTGCGTGATTCGGTAGTTCAAGTGAAAAATGTTGTCGGAGAGATGTTTTCTCTTCTGGAAAACGGGAAGGAAGGCGAGCAGAGATCCTGCACTCTCCACCAACGACATGATCTTGTGTTCAGAAAATAGGGAGAGAAGATGAGATGTCCAAGAAACTTCTGAGGACATTGGAACTAGCTTTAGTTCTCCTTGCCTGAACTTTTGTCAGCCCAGAATTATCTCACTTTCTCCTGTTTGCCTTGATCTTCCATCGCTAAGACCAGGGGTCCCCAAACTTGGCAACTTGACTTGTGGACTTCAGCTATGCTGGCTGGAGAATTCTGGGAGTTGAAGTCCACAAGTCTTCAAGTTGCCAAGTTTGGAGAGCTCTGCCTTTCAGGGAAGGTTTCCATCCCTTCAGCTTCAAGATGACCAAGAATGAGATTTTCTGGGATGAATTCACCCTGTGAACAACAACGTTCCTGGAGGTTCTTCCTGAAGTTTAGCCAATGTGGCCTCACAAAGGAATCATCGCTGTGGCTTCATATCAGAATGTTGCCCACAGTGAACCAAGGAGGTGAATTTGAAAAGGCGGGTTGGGCTAACTGCCCCGCCTCGCAAACAGGGAAAGAAAGTTCACCTGAGCAATGATGTAAGGAGAGAATCAAATACTCGATGTCAAGAGGATCTTTTCCCCTTCTGAGCCCCGTCAGGAGGCTGGAATAGCGAGAACTTCCAGGATAAGGTGAGGCTGAGAAAACCCAGGTTGCATCCTTATACAGCTAGTCCTTGAACCATTCACGTAGCAACTGTCCAAAGTTACAGTGGCACTGGGGGAAAAAAAAAGAGAGTTTATGATCAGCCTTCC